ACTTACTAATTGTAAATTGACTTACTAATTTTGATTTCTGCTAACTGCCACAGGTTAACAAGATGTTAGTAATTTCAAACTTGAAAATTCATAATCTAACGTAAGTAGAATGTGGGTTTAAGGACATCTTATCTTTTGGCCATACCACTCTTAACGTTTGTAGGTCTGTGTTTATTTTGTCCTGAACGACTTGCTTTACTCTAATTTGTCTGTAATTCTACCTGATGACTCTCTGGGAGCAGTAATAAAAGGATGTTGGCAGTTGATACTGTTTGGAGAACACTTTAATCATGATACGTCCTCACATTCTAAATAGATTTATTTCCAGAAATGACATTCTTCTCTAAGGGCCAAATGACCCACTCTTCCCACCAGTGACTACTAATCTGGTATTTAGAGTAGTTTATTTAGTGGTTTACCTGGATATCTGAATTACATTTAATTCTTCAGTCCTTTCAACGGGTTTCAGAGCTTGAGGCAGGAACTGTAAATTCCATAGATACTGATAACCACATTTTATCTGCATGATATGATTATGATCATACATTAATGCTAGGGTTTTTAGATAAACGGGGCTTTAGCTGTTCTTGAGATAAATCATTGAAGTATGTTTGGGGTTACAATATAAGGATTTAATTCCATCCTTATGTCAGAAATTCACTTTTGACGTTTCTTATATGTTTTAGAGCATTTTAGGTCTATGGCATTATTTCATTTCTTTTGGTAATTATATTTCTGTCTTTTGTTCATTAAACCAGCACTTAATCATCTTCCACATGTTCTCAAATCCTCCCCTTCTTTCTTCCCACAGCTGCTGTTTTATTTACCTCAGACTCTGACCTTTTATCTTCCAGAATAGCACCTCCCAGCTATATATGCATATGAATAATGGGGCTCTTGTTAAAATGCAGATTCTGGTGTCAGTAAGTCTGTCTTGGCACCTGAGGTGCAAGCTTCCAGGTGATGTTGACACAGCCCCCGTGGTCCCCACCTGTGGTACCCTCCCAGTCATTTTTTTGAGACAGAGATCTGATCATTTCACTCTCCTTCTCCAGACCTGATTGCATATGAAAGTAAAATCCACACTCTTTAGTGTGAAGATCCTTAAGGAACAGGCCTGTCCTGTCTTCGATTCTCTAACCACCGTCTCCGTTTTGGGGAGAGTCCTTGGTACTTTCTACACATGCCATGAACTTTCACATGCTCTGCCTTACTGTGCATCTGCCAGGTAAATATTGCTATATTTATTATTATTGTTGCCTCTTCAGAAGATAATATTGTAGGTATAAACTGGACAACTACAACTCGTGTCAAGCATTTCCACCTAAGCCACAAGGGAATGTCTGGTGGGAAGCAGGAGATGCAAAAGAAAGGGAATTCATAGTAGAGCTTTACTTGTTCCTATATGAGTGACATTTTTTCTTTTTTTGTTGTTGTTGTCTCAGCGTAAAAATTAATGCAGATTTTACACTTTGCTCTGTAATAGGACTTTTATAAAATTAATGTTTTAAATAAATTACTACTGAATAAAAGTGATCCACATGTATCCTGTGGCTTCTAGGAATCTTGGCATACTCCCACAGAGATCTGTGTTAAACTTCTCTTTGACTGTCTTTGGTAAAGCCTTCCCAGTTCTTATGTCTTCAAATGTGGCCTTTATCATAGTTTAATTTGGTACTTCTGTTCTTTAAAAACACTAGGATGCATCTGACCGTAACACCTTTAATCAGGAGTTACATGGTGCTCTTTAATTTACATTGATGAGGAGGACAGAACTCCAGCAGGAATGTGTAACAGTACGTGAACATACAGAGTGTTGAAGGAGTTGCTGGAGGAACCAGCAAAATGGAACTCAGCTAGGAAGATTTTATTTATTTTATTTTATTTTATTTTATTTTATTTTATTTTATTTTACTTTTTAAAGATTTTATTTATTATTTGTCAGAGACAGAGAGCAGAAGCAGGGGGCACGGCAGGCAGAGGGAGAAGCAGGCTCCCCACTGAGCAGGGAACCCAATATAGGGCTGGATCCCAGGACCCTGGGATCATAACCTGAGTGGAAGGCAGATGCTTAACAACTGAGCCACCCAGGCATCCCTCAGCTAGGAAGATTTTATAGATGGAAGTTTTTCATGTAAAGGACCTACAGTATGGCTTGGCAGAAGGGAGGAGGGGAGGGATTTCTTTCTGTTTAGGGAGAATGGTGCATTTGAGGGCTTGGTTGGGAGTGATGGAGGTGGGTTATTAGAGCTGTTAAAGCCATCAGCCTTTCTAGCCTAGAGCGCATAGGCCAGTAGGAAGCAGCTTACTCTGTGGAAGAGCCCTGGATGGGGTGGTCTGGGTTTCACTTGGTCCTGGCACTGTTCTGCTGAGTACAACAGGAGTCAGTTAACCTTCCTGGGCCTAGTTTATTTATCCTTAAATTGAGAGAGTTGAAGTACTGTGATCTGTAATACACCTTCCAGCTCTACTATTCAGTAGTCTGTCTCCTCTATCAAACAAGCTGGTCTGGGACTTTGTGCTTCAAGGGTTCGGTTTCTGTTATAATTGCAGTTTGCTTTGGAGTCTTGCCCACTGACCAAGCTTAAAATATGAGCCATTCAAATTTTCCCTTGCTTTGCATCACATTTACTTCTGTCCGATCTTGAATTCGTGTTTCCCCATTGCTGCAATTTCTGTCCTTGGGTAAGTCCTTCAGAATCTTTTTCCCAGGCTCTTGCTTGTGTTTAACCCCACCTCACACCCCCTACCACTAGAATTCCTTTTACACACCCAGCAGCTTAGTATCACTGTGCTTCTCCTCAATAAAAATAACTGTGGTGAATCTCCATTGTCTTCCAAAGAAGAGCCAAACTCATTAGCTCAGTATTCATATCAGCTATCAATCTTAGCTCACATTACTCCCCTCGTAGTATCTACAGAATAGTTAAACTGAAGCTACTATCCTCTCGGTGCCCTTGCTCCCATTGTTAACTGCACCTGGTTATGCCCTGCTTCTTCCTCCATTGTCACGCCGCCACGATTCTCCCATCTTGGGTGCCATGGCCTTCATGAGTCTCTTAGGCTTCCCACAGCCAGGAGTCCTTTTCTTCTCAATTCCCATTGCACCATAGCACCTTTTCTGTACCTAATAGTGCTCATTAGTTGGTTTGTCTATCTTTTTTTGTACTTGTAATCTCTCCAAACTAAACTAAGCTCCTCGGGACTTAGGAAGTACTATATTATCTTAGATAGTGGGTACCCAGTAAATATTGGTTGAACTAAGGAATTCTGGCTAATTATAGTTCAGATCCTTGTTATCTCTGGTTGGTAGAGTTTCTTGTTTTTCTGCATAATCACTAACTAGAAAAGAAGTCTGCCAACAGGAATTAATAAACTAATAGAAGAAAAAGAACCATTGCTAAGATGTGTTATAATTCCCAAGTTTGTAAATAAGGCAAGCAAATGTTTGCAAGCCTCAGCCTTGTCTTTGAATTTTGAGTTTCATTCATGTGGGCTTTTAAGGCAGTATGAACCTTTTCAGGTGAACCACCTCAGGGTAGTTTGTATTTTGCTTATTTGTGTCAGTATGCTTAGCAGTTTTTTGTCCAATGAAGGTTTTATTTATTGGTTGGTTGATTGATTTTGGAGAGCGTGCGAGGTTGGGCAGGGAGAGGGACAGAGGGAGAGAAACTCAAGCCAACTCCCTGCTGAGCACAAAGCCCATCTCCCCACCGCCGCCTCATGACACTGAGAGATCCTGATCTGAGCGGAAACCAAGAGTCTGGCGCTTCACGGACCGGGCTGCCAAGGCACCTCTGTTTTAGAACAGGTTTTAGAGTGAATGCTTACAAACTTGGGAATTTTAAAAAGTAAAATAACAAATGGAGCCATTAAAATAACTTACAAAATTATTTTACATAATTACAATTAGAAAAACTTTAATGTTTTTATGGTAGCAGCAGACTCCTCCGTTAAGTATGCACTTGCCGTGTAATTGGTGTTTAGGTCAGAAATTGTTTCGTATGCACACCTCATGCTTTCAGAACCATTAATATGAGCCTTCAAAGTTTGGTTTTTCTGTGTTTATAGATACGATTTATGAGCCAGTCAAACCATAAGCAGAGTAGACCCTTGGAAAATGGCTTGCATCCTGGTTGAAACAGTGCGGGCAAACTTGTATCCCAAGAGTTGATGACTTAGAACAGATTCCATCATCTTAGAAAATACTGGTTTAGAATGGGAGATTGAAAAGAGAAATAAGATCTCCTAAAATTTCCCACTGTCACTTTTTGTCCCAATAGCTCCTTCTCAACTTAGCTTTGTTCAGAATACTGTGCTAAGACAAGCTAAATCTTTGGCATTGTCTGCTTGAATCCTGAGGAAAGCAAATACATCTCACCTAGGATTAAACCATTAACATAGACATTACCTCACTTCTCTCTAGATGATGTAAGATTATTCTCAGTTCTAGCAATCTCCCATCATTAGTCACTTAGGTGTAGCATCCTCAAAATAAGAATTGCTAGCTATATTGCTCACTACCAGTGCTTTTTTTCAATAAATAATAGTGGTTCTTTAAAACAGTTGCAGATGGTTTACCTGTTAAAACTGTTGGGGGAATGAAGTATACATAATACATAATTATGTATTTGCTACTTTATTCTCTTACCATTAAAATAGAAGGCATTATAACATATTTATGTATGTTAAGCTCTTTGATAATTACGTAGCTAGCATTGACTTATAAAAAGAGATATACATGTGTTTCTTCTGGCGTGCAGAAAAGTGGAATGGAGCAATGGGAGAAATAAACCCCATGGAAAAACAAAAAGTTGAACTCGTTCTTCTAGCAGTAACTGTGGGGGGAAAGGCAGAGTTTATCCATGGCAAGCAGTTTGGCTACACTGACCCTGTAGTGGCTTGGAGAGTGATGTTAATGGTGTGGGTGATAGGAAGCTGGGACAGGTGGATTTTAAGAAATCTCTGTTTGATCTCAGTCTCTCTCTCCTCCTCTTCAGGAGTTAGAAGCAGCTCTTCACAGAGATGATGTAGAGTTTATCAGTGACCTGATTGCCTGCCTGCTTCAGGGCTGCTATCAACGAAGGGATATCACGTGAGTAATCCTGATTTTACTACATATTTCATGTAAAAAGAACTAATTAACCAGGTGCACTGATGTTTCGTGTCTTCTGTAACAAACCAGAACTGATCATTTGCCAGTGGTATTTACAAATGGATTCCCCAGCTCTGTGTTTGGCTCCTTCTGCAGTTCAGTTTTAATTTTATTATAATCCCTGAGTTTATTTCACTCTGACAAATCTATATCCCTTACTCCTGGATCTACCAGTTAACATAATCAAGTGTAGAATTTCTTCTTCTCAGTGTATGCCTTTCTTTCTTATTTTTACAGAAATAACAGCCTCTTGCGGTATTGGTAAAATATTGCCTAACAGATTAAAGCTAGATTTTACTACATTTCTACCACTTGAGTATCTTCTGTTGTTCACATAACCAGTAGCATAATTTTTAACGTGAAGCTTCTAGGCTCCCTCACACCGTAACTGCCAAGTAAACAGCACTCTGATATATTTGACATGTACAGACATTTGGAGCAAAGTTTTATCTGTGTAGACGAATAAAGGATCTTCCTGATAAGGCCTCATTGCTTGTTTTGACCCTAACTCGATACACATTTTCTTTGCTACTACATTTCTATACAGGGTGGAAATGTATAGAGCCAACTCTTAAAAAAGCTGAGACAAAATGCTTTTCCAGTTTTCAGCACTCCAGAGCCATGCAGGGCAGGGGCTTGGGGTTTTCAGGTTTGTATTTTTCATACAGTTAAAGATGCTGTCTCAAATACTTCTGCTCTGTTAAATCTACTCTTAGGTATCTATTAGGGCTGGGAAACTAGGCCCAATACTAATGTGCAATAAACTTGTGGTTACAAGATGAGTAAGAGATTGATAAAACACCATTTTCTTCATGGTACAAGTTTGTATCTCTTAAGGGAGAGTTACTGCTCAGCAGGAAGCCTGCCTCCTTCTCCCTCCCCCACTCCCCCTCCTTGTGTTCTCTCTCTCACTGTGTCTCTCTCTGTCAAATAAATAAATATAATCTTAAAAAAAATAGAATTTGGGGGTATCAATATAAAAGCCATGAGAGCAAGGGAGTCGTCAGATTGTGTATTTAAGTAAGCATCCTGGGCAAGAGGGATAGTAGGAAGACCAACTAGGGGCTAATGAATTAGGGGAGAAAGGAGAGATAGAGACAGAGTGAAGGACTCTTATGATGGTACAAGTAACTAGACATGGTGTCTCCAGTCTTGACCAGTCTGATAGGTATAAAGTTGTTTTAACTGCATTTCATTGATCATTCTTCACAAGTTCAGTATCTTTTCTTAGGCTTATTGGGCACATTTGTTTTTTGTTTTTTGTTTTTAAATATTTTATTTATTCATGAGAGTCAGAGAGAGAGAGAGGCAGAGGCAGAGGGAGAGGTAGGCTCACCGCCTAGCAGGGAGCCCAATGCGGGACTCGATCCCAGGACCCTGGGATCATGACCTGAGCCGAAGGCAGATGCTTAACCATCTGAGCCACCCAGGTGCCCCTGTTGGGCACATTTCTAATCTTTGTATATTTGACCTTCTTTTTAATATACTTGGGTCATTTTACTGGTATGTTGAAGATCAGGGAAAAGAAATGCCCATTTAAAATTTGTAAGGTTGTTTTCCTCTAGGTTCTTCTATTTCATTCTTGCACAAGAGTGTTCCTTTACCCTTGTCAGCTCTGAACATTGCCCATAACATGCCAGCGGGTTAGGGTGAAAGCAGTTTCCTATCTCATGTGTGACAATGGGGATAGAGAGGACAGTCTGTGGTTGAAGATTGAAATAGCTAAAGTCATATCATTTATGGAATAAATCTTCCCATCCCTGTTGGCATGTGATATCTCTTTGATCTTTTCCCAATTTTTTACTCATGCTTGAAACTACTTGGTTCTTTCTGATCGTACCTGTCAATCTTTTGGCTCTGATACCACACTATGTCTCCCTAATATATTCACTAGCTTTGTGACCTGTGCCTTAGGTTTTTCATCTATAAAATGTGTTTAATGATAGTATTTCTACTTGTTGGATTGTCATTAGGTTGAAGGTAACAATCTGTATATGAAACAGTAAGGATATTGTCTGGGACACAACTACTAATAACATTTGAGTGATTATTCCTTTATATTATATTTTAATGTTGGATAAGGATAGTTCTGCTCATTAATCCTTCTGTTTAGGGGCCTCTGGGTGGCTCAGTTGGTTAAGCAACTGCCTTCAGCTCAGGTCATGATCCTGGAGTCCTGGGATCGAGTCCCTCATCGGGCTCCCTGCTCAGTGGGGAGTCTGCTCCCTCTGACCCTCCCCCCTCTCAGGTGCTCTCTCTCTCTTTCAAATAAATAAATAAAATCTTTTTAAAAAAATCCTTCTGTTTAAAATTTGTCTTAATCTTGCTTCCTCATTCTTATAGAAAATAATTACATTATCTCATGTTCATAAGATATTCCTTTATTTTGATTAGAGTCAAATGAACCTATGAATAAATTTAGGCAGAATTGACCTCTTCACAATGTTGAGATTGCTTTTTTATTTAAGCTCTTGTTATTACTCAGTAAAAATGTACAGTTTGATTCATTTAGGGCTGATACATTCTTGGCTATTTTAATTTTTGACAATATTAGGAGTTGAATCCCATTCATATTATAAGTACTTTGGAAATACATTCGTCTATATAGATCTTGAATCTACCCAGTTTATTAATCTTGATAATTTTTTAATTTGATTCTCTTCTCATTTTCTAGGATTATCATCCCTCTTTCTTTTCGGTATTTGTATTCTTGTCTGTTTCAAGCTGTACTAGTTATCCACTGCTATGTAACAATACCCTAAAACTTAAAACAACAAAAAATTATTATATCATCATTTCTGTTAAGAATCTCGCTTCAGCAGGATGCCTGGATGGCTCAGTTAAGCGTCTGCCTTCGGCTCAGGTCATGATCCTGGGGTCCTGGGATTGAGCCCCACATCGGGCTCCCTGCTCAGCGGGGAGCCTGCTTCTCCCTCTGCCTGCCGCTCCCCCTGCTTTTGTGCATACGTGTGCTCTCTCTCTGACAAATAAATAAAATCTTAAAAAAAAAAAAAAAAAAAAGAATCTGGCTTCAGCTTAGCTGGGGTGTGTCTAACATAGGATTGCTTAGAGAGTGCAATCAAGGTACCCAGGATCTTGACCAGGACTACAGTCCTCTCAAAGCTTGACTGGGGCAGGTATCCATGTATTTGTTTTCTGTCTCTGCATAACAAGTTTCTCCAAACTTAGTAGCTTAAAAAATCCATTTATTATCTCACAGTTTTATAGGTCGGGAGTGTATGTGTGGCTCATCTGATCCTCTGCTCAGTTTCTTATGGGGCTGTAATCAGGGTGTCATCCAGGCTGTGTTCTAATCTGGAGGCTTAACTGGGGAGCAATCCAAGTTCATTCTGGTTGATGGAACAGTCATTTCTTTGCAGTTGTAGGACCGAGGTCCTTATTTTCTTGTTGGCTGTTGACTGGGAGCTCCTGTCAGCTCCCACAGGTCATCCACAGTTCCTTTGGCAGCCAAATGGCCTCTTACTACATAACTGTGTCTTCAAGACCAGCAGGAAGATAGCTCTTGTCTGCCAGCAGAGAATCTTATATGATATAACATAATCATGGGAATGACATCCTTTTGCCATAATAAAAGCAAGGTATAGACAGTCTGTCATACTAAAAGGAGGGGATTGTACAAGGGTGTGAATACCAGGAGGTAGAAATCATTTTGGGCCTCTTAAAGGTTGCCTGCTATACATGCTTTTATCATATTGACTTCCAGAACAAAACTAAATAATAATAGTAAGATGTATGCTTGCATCTAATTACATTTACTTAAATAATAATTATTTTGATAGATTTTTTTGTGGATAAGAACCAATTTGGTTTTTGGATAATCATTGGGTTTTAATGGCTCCTATAAGTATATGTGTGTATTTGAATTATATATATATGAATATCATATATAAAAATATAAGAATCATATATATGTGAATTATCAACGAGAGGTTTTGATTTGCCCTGTTGTAAATGGGGGTAAATGGCTGTAACCAACTTGTTCCTCATTTAATTTTATTCCTCTCATATTTACCATTAGTCTCAACCATAAATTAGAGAAAAAGTATATACTTTGATAACGTTTTCTATAAAAGTAATTAGTTTGAAAATAATGGATATTCTGCAGAATATTTTTAACTTAGATGCCAACTTTTACCATCATTCATTATAATTTCACTTGTGTTCATTTCATTTTTTTTTTCATTGTGAGGTAAAGAAGAGCTGGTATGAGGTCATCTCCTAGTTTAATAAGGTCCCGTTTTAGAGGGAAGGAAACACATCCAGACAATTTACTTACCAGGTCATGTAGCTAGTTAGAAGATGAATAATTCCCACATCATCAAGATGAAGTACAAAGAATTGAAAGAACAGGATATTGAATATTACAATATTACAGTTGGAAAGGATATATACACTACTATACAGTAACCAAATTTTGGAAGCAGCCCAATGCGGGGCTCCATCCCAGGACCCTGGGATCGTGACCTGAGCCGAAGGCAGACACTTAACGACTGAGCCACCCAGGCGCCCCTTTTGTTCGTTTTTAAAATACAGTTGAAATAAAAATATTTCTGGCTGACCAAATAAATTTGGAAACTGGCAGCCCTAAGATTCGGAATTAATTGTTTGGAATGTGGCTCTCACCTCAGCCTTTTAAAAACTTACTATTATTGGGGCGCCTGGGTGGCTCAGTTGGTTGGGCATCTTCAGGAGCCTGCTTCTCCCTCTCCCTCTGCTCCTCCCAGCTGTTCATGCTCTCTCTTTGCTCTCTCTCAAATAAATAAAAAATCTTCAAAAAAAAAAAAAACAAACCTTGTCATTATTGAGATACAATATACCACAGAAAATTTTTTGTTCTGTAGTTATACAGCTCAGTGAATAGTCACATTCTGAACACATCTGTATGATGAGCGCCCATACAAGAAAGACCACTATAATGG